ACCCCCAGAAGGATATAATTATTTATCACCCAGCACTGGCTTAATATATTGCAACTGTATGTTGTTGTTCCTTAAGAAAGAAGACATGATGAGATTGTTTTGTATCCAGGTTCACGCAGACTAGAATGTTCAAAGCTGGTCGTCCTGCCTGAATGTGTCCTTGGGCAAGACAGTGGAACACAAAGTGGGCTAATAGCAGTGCATTTTACTACAGCGCTATTGTACTGAAACAGATAACACCTTCTTCACAGATAACAGCTTCCAAAATTTGAGAAATAAATTATAGAAACAACTCTCCTTGTAACTTCAAAAACAAATGTCCGTAAGTAGTCCAGGTGATTGTTCTCTCCGGAGCCAAAGCAGTAAGACTTCATCGTGTTTTGCCAGATTTGGGAAAACATTAAGGAATATGCTCACAGCACGGAGGTGTAGACACGAAGTTCAACACTCAGACATTCAGCAAGGTTCACCCTCAACAGCTCCTCATCATTTCTACCACATTAGTCATGCAGTGCAGGATAAAGCTCAACTGTTATTTTTACCTCATAATCCGACGTTGAAGCCTGACGCTTTGAAAACCTGGTGGAACTTGTCGGTTCATTGTAATTATTTGATTCATTTAGGCGCTGCACATAGTTGTGAATTCAACCTGTACATGTGCAGTATGGTAGGAGTAGTTAGTTTTGCATTTAAACCCTGCTACATTGAGATATGTGACCTCGTGCCTGCACCTAAAATGTTAAGACAGATGGAAGAAGGGCTGAGGAGGGGGCTGCAGCATCCACTGGCAGATGGTGGAGGACCTGCATGTTCATAACATGTTCATAACATTTTCATAACATATTCCAATGATATTTTGATTTCAGCAATAGTTTAATAGTGGATCTTTGGTTGAATGGTGTTCTTTATTATTGAATAGCAGCTAAACAAGAAACGTTTCACTGTAGTCTCTCTCTCTCTCTCTGTCTCTCTCTGTCTCTCGCACACACGGATATGTACTTTGTTGTGGATTACATTTACTTTTGCCGTATCACAAATTAATTTCAAATGAGTCTTCATAAGTCCGAGTGGGGAGGAGGTCTGGGTGGTGATGGGTGAAAAACGCAGGGCTTTCACCCAGGAGACTGCTGTGTCCCGTGTGAAACAAGTACTTTTGTTGTGTTTTTCTGTTGCAGTCATTTTAAGCCTAACCATTATTTTAAGGGCCATAATGAAAACATGCACAGCCTCTGTGCAGCATAGGCTGTATGCTGTGTTGGATGATGCCGTATTGCGTCATCTCCACAGCACCCCCCCACACTTGATGCATGTTCCTACTGCTGTGTGAAATGGATGTTCAGAATGGCAGGGCTTGGCAGCTGCTTAGAGTCTCACATTTTCTTCATCGCCACCAGGAAAAGCTGCTCGGTGTAACCCAACAAAAAAAAAAAGAAGGTTTTCTGTTTTTCAAGTTAACTTGTACATCCCCAACATTGCTAATGGGTAGATGATTGAAGAACCCCTGGTATTGGTGAATTAGTGCATGGCTTTCCGTGTGCTGTCGCTCTGCGTCTGTGTCTTGCTCTGACTCGTAGCTGGAGGCTGATTAATTATTCTCTGTGTGAAGGATGTTTTGGCCCAGAGTGATTGCTGCCTCTCTGTGGGACTCCTGTTCCCTAGATCACCTCAAGCCAAATGAAATGTGGTGAGGAGGAATAAAGGGTCAAAGCCCTCCATCTCTGCTCCCCCCCCTACTGCTCCTCCCTTCATCCCCCCAATCCCCGGCAGCCGCAAGGTACAAAGTATCCCCTGGACGGTTTCCTTCTTAGAACCATCGCCCGGTCTGACACGGAATCCAGTCGATGTCAATGTGATTTACTGAATATTTCATATTTCATACAACTTCTCTTGTTTCTCACCTCTCCCTCCTTTCAAGCTTCTCAACTCCTTTCTGTCTCTATTTCCGCTTCCCTCTATTTCACTATTTTTGGTCCACAGAATTTCGCTGCATAGAATCGCATAGTTGTCATCGGTTCACTTTGTTCTCATCAGTTCAGGTTCGATGTCCTCGAGACGCAGGGGGATCAAGGAGGAGGCTGAGAAGGCTGTGTTCTAGTTTGCAGTTGTTAGTGATGTCAGATGCTCAGTAAACAGTCAGAGCTGCCTGCAGTGGTGATAGCAGTTTGTCAGGGCTAAGGCAACAGCAGCTGCCCATGTAAATCCTTTTCATAACATTTCAAAGGCTGTTTATCAAAAGGGGTTACATCTGTAGATTCCTGTGCTTGTCTGGTGAAGGTAGTGGCATTTATGTAAGAAGGTAAAGTTTAAGTCCACTCATCACAAGCCCATTTTAGATTTGACAGTTTTTTAATGATTTATGTGCCATGTTCTATCAATTAGCCTCAACATGATATGTTTGAGGAGATGACTCTGTAAATCAAGGCCAACCGTCTTCAGCTCTGCATACATTTGTTACAAATAAGGATTTTGTGTTGTGACAATAGAAAACAATAAAGTCAATAAAGTAACTAGATGAATGTTTAATGGCGTAATCATATTAGGTGTGTTAAAAACCGTTGGATGACTCATACAAAGACAGAATTTGGATGTTATTTGCTACGTTTGTGTATGAATCCATGCTCTGCATTCGAGTAGTGTTCACAGGCTTCACAGGTGACTGCAGCCTTATGGATCAAACTTAATGAAACCATATGGTGCAACATTTGGAACGCAGAAGAGGGTGAAACACAAACAGGCAACCACATGTTAGATAACACAAAAAAAAGTTTCGTACGACTGCATGAAATAATGTGCACTTGCATTCTGGTCTTCTCAAAATGAGGGTCCCATACAACAAAACTGCATTGTCAGTTATGTTTCAAGCGAACATTTGTTGTTGACGTGTCACATTTGGCTTTAATCAAAACAGGAAGGAGGTCAGGGTGGATGGATGGTTGTTTAACACCAGAACACCGCTGTTCCTAAACCTAAATGTAATTGAGAAACACTATAATGTTGATATACACATATGTAGAAATGTTGATATGAATCAACGTATCCTTGATTTGCAGAAACGTGCAATGCCAACCTTTTATTCTAGCGACTGGGTTGGGTGGAAAGTACATTAGGGTGTGAAGGTTGAAACAAGAGTTCTAGCGACTGGGTTGGGTGGAAAGTACATTAGGGTGTGAAGGTTGAAACAAGAGTTCTAGCGACTGGGTTGGGTGGAAAGTACATTAGGGCGTGAAGGTTGAAACAAGAGTTCTAGCGACTGGGTTGGGTGGAAAGTACATTAGGGTGTGAAGGTTGAAATTAATGAAAACGACAAAATATATTTTTTGTCCATGACCTCCAGAAATACACATTTGTTTTCTGATTTGATGCCCCATCAACAGGATGGCATCATTTGTCTTTCAAAACTTACAAATCCATTTCATGTTAGGTTTAAGCAGAAAAATCCCTTGGTTAGACTCAGGAAAAGATCATGATTTGAGCTTAATTGATCTACTTTGTTCAGGTTAGGGTACATTTGTCGTCATGGTTCAGGCTGTTCTCATACACTGTATATGTACAAATAGCAACGCACAATAATTTGTGTATAACCCACAAAAGCATGAGCCAGGACGTCCAGGGCTGCCTCTAAGGAAGTCGTTATAAGAAGAGGGACAATGTTGTGGATAGACGGGTCAATCAAACACAGGACTTTCACCAGGAGACCACTGTTCATGTGTGAAAACAAATCAATTAATTTGACCTTACTTGTGTTATGTAACTTACTTACTTAATTGACACCAGGTATGTAATTTACATAACAACCACACTTATTGCTGTAATTCAAATTTAATCGAAAAATGACATAAGAAATATGAACAGCTGTATTAGGAAACATTGCATGGTTCCAGTAATAAAGACTGGATTAAGGTTAGAGATCATCCATGATCCATGTGAAAGAACTGATGCCCTCGTTTTTCTTAAGAGGACAGTCAGACGGAGGGTTGCGTGGTGGATGGTGGTGCAGCATGTAAATGGAAAATGGACCACATTTTTATAGCACTTTTCTTTTTCTTTTTTTTGTGATTCAAAGGGCTTTACAACACAAGCCAGCATTCACCCATTCACATGGCAGAGGGCTGCCACCTGCTCAGCAGCGATAAACATTCACACTCACACAGTGACTGCTCTACTGCCGGAGCCACAGATGTGGAAGGTGAAAGGTCGCATCTCATCACACCAAAAAATAACATTCATACAAAATAAATTCTATACATGTTATATTTGACGTAACCAGGATATTTTGCCATTATTATATTTGTCACATACCTTTTCTTGGTCTTCTCACCGGGCTGCCCAGCGGATCAAAATATGACACTGTAAACACGTGGTAAAATTGATTTAATTATGAATTGATTTAAACTTACTACGTTTATAAAATTAAAGTCAACACAAAGACAACAACAACATATTGTTGGGATATGAACACTGGTCTCCTGGGTTACAGTCCGGTGTTGGTTTATCCATCCAACCTACTGTACCTTGCTCCTCTGAGTGGACTTCTTTGGTCCGCTCTTCGTCACTACACTCCCAAAGCACTTGCTCTGACGGCCACTAATATTGCTCCAGATGGGGTTTCCATTGTAGTTAGTTGAAAGCCTGGTGCGTCTCACAGAGACACTAACGCGGGCCTCGTGCATCGGTATCAGAAGCAGAGGGGTGTGAGTAAGCGTCCATATTTGGGTGCGAGATGGTATATTGTAGCTGCCATGCAATTGCTGGTTCTCTGGCTTGAAGGTGTATGCAGTGTTTCGTGCATGTTAGTAGTGCTATTGACTGACAGTCTCATGTCTCTTGTCAATTAATAGCGTGGCAAAATCTTTGATGGTTGACAAATCTGCCTTACCCTATTTATAATTGAATATTTCTCTCTTACTGAGTTGCATTGGTCTATCTATTCATCAAGCTAGATGCATCTGTGCAATGGTTGTATCAGAAGATGTAACGTCCTTTGTTTCTTCTTTTCTCAGGTACAAGAATATCAACCAACTGTGGACTGGCCGTCCTCCTCCTGGCGTGTGGTTTGGGGAGGGATGCCTTGTTATAATTTGAAGAACTGACATGGGTCCCTGATCTGATCTCGCTCTCGTTCTGTTTGCTCTCAAAGTGAACAAGAAAATCACCCCCTAGTCCCCCCCCCAAACACACACACGCACCATGCGGACAGCACAGTTGGCCGTCATTTCCCTGCCACTACCGCTCTTTGCTCCCAGCACATTGCTGATAGCCACTGTAAACACCGGTCACCTCTAAACCCCTTGGAATACCTTTTGTACAGACGGCGACTCGATACCATCTGAGGTGCAGCGCTCCAGTGTGAAAAACGAACTCTGTAGCTTGTCGGATAACTCTCATGGAAGAATGACATTCCTCATGTTTTCCCTGTTCCAGTTTCATGTGTTTATTGCTCAAAAGTGAACAAGAAAAAAAGAGGAGAATCTATATTTGTGTAATATATATGATTCTAGATATATATATGTTTTCTTCAAAACACCTAGAATTACTGGATGTGCTGTATACATAGCTCAAACTCACCTTATTGGCCATGGAACTCCATTGTGAATAGGCCCCGAAAGAAACAAAATAAATTAAAGTACACTTCAATTTAGACTGTTAACATTAACCATGTGGTTAAAAAAGCGTTTAAATTCTCACTTTTCTTCAGCTGTATTGGCCATTGAAATGATCTAATGTGCATACTTTTACATCTTGTTAGTGATACGTATACAGGTGTGCATGCTTATTGACCTTAAAAGAGGAGAACATAAGTTATTTGAGCTACGTAAGTCAACACTTGGGAGTTCAGTGTTACAGTTTGTTGAATTTAGCTTTATTTTAATGTGCTAGCTTTGGTGTGATAAATAAATTGTCCCCTGTCATCTTAATTTGTATCGCATCCTCAGTAGGAATAAAAAGGATGTCACAATTTATGCGTCATTGGAAAATCCTGATATATGACCGTTGGATGATTAATTTTAATTGACCTGCACCATTTTCACACGGCAGGCTTCAGTTGCTGTGCACCTCCCCGGTATGTCTCATCACTACAGAGGGTGAATGAGAGTTTACCCACTTTGGATCACGGGTATTGCTCGTTTGTATTGTTTTTTGACGCCAGCACACAAACACACACATTTTGCAGGTAGAGGTTTGAGTGTCTGGGTGAGTTGAGATGCAGTGCAACACAGAAAGTCGACTTGTCATCAACACTGTATATGAGCCATGTTTGGAAGAAATTAGTTAGTTTTCTTAATCTTCTCTCTTATATCTTACAGTAATATATTTTTAGCTTTATTTTCAGATGATATTTCATAGAGATTTTTATCCACGCAGAGCATTTATAAGCAAAACGCTTTGACAATCTGACACAAACAGACAAAGGTGTTGTTTTTTTCATAGTGTAACAACAGATACAGTATAAGCTGAAATAAATATAATGGTAATATTTTGTTAACTTTTGAGCTGAAAAGACACTTGAGCACCATCAGAAACACACACATGCTCAAATTCAAACTGAAATATGTATGAATAACGGAGTAGCTGATTTATAACTCAAGAATCATAATGTAAGTGAATGTTATCGACTGTGAGTGTCATGCTGCCTGAGAGCAGCAGTTGTCCTGCAATAAGATCAATATTTTATTTTGGTAGACCCTGAAGCACATGCTAATGTTCTGCTCAGTTAACAGCTAAAATGTGCGCTGAATTAAAGTAACATGAAGCATGATTATGTAGTTCCTCATACGTTCCTCATGGTGTACGGTATAATCGAACATTCATACATAACATACAGATGTAATTGCTAATGATTACTGTGTGCTGTGTGTTCTCAAAAAGCAACATTCACCTCCCCTCAAGCTTTTATTCCGCTTTGCAGACAAAGCATAAATCCCCCCCCCCCGTATAGTTGCACTGCACTCCCAAAGAACTGTGGAGGGAAACTTGTTGATTCAGCACCGGCATTCAAAGGCTGTTGGAGTGCTTAGTCATGCTCTGGGATGAGACCCGAGACATCTAGTGATCAGCAGCTTCCAGGCTGGGTACGAGATGTGAGGGCGACAGAGGGCGACCCCGTCTAATTCCTCAAGTTCCAAATAGCTTCAGGGTGAATTTGGACAGGTATTCTAGCATCACTGTCACATAGTACATGCCAATCGATTGCTGTGTTTTGAAATGACATGTTATGTACAATGATTCAGAACATTTAGTTTGCAGAAAGAAAAGAATCCACTTCATTTTAAGGTAGAACAGGATTTGGATGTTGATTCTGTTGGAAATGTGCCCGAGCACTTTGGAGAGTGTGCACTGTTTGAGAGGACAGTTTGTCCAACCCTCATGTAAAAAGTTACAGATCTGTAAAACTTGTAAATGAAATAATCAGCATGTTAACATTTTCTTTCTTTTCTTCAAACATCCATTTAAAAAGGCAGACGCCAGTGATGTTCTGTACTTGTAACAATGGTGTCATGTACTCATATTCAAGTGTTAACAAGTCCAAAGTGGGTTTTCATCTCCTCAAAATGAACTTGGGTAAAATGTATGACTAAAAAAAATTAAAAGTTCTATATATAGTTATGATTATTAGAAACATCTCCTTTATAAGGCTTTCATCCTAATCTAGGGGACTCACTTGACTGTGGGTCCTTGCAACATATTAAATAACAAAGAAGGGGATTGGAACGATGATTGATTTGATATTGTGATTGGATTAATTCTAAAATGTAGTTGTTCCGATACCATTTTTCCTCCCTGATACCAATTCCAACATCTGAACTTGCGATTCGATAACAGTGCTTTAAAAACTACAAATGATTATTATTATTATTATCATTATTAAACAGCTGTATACTACTAACCCTCCATGGATGTGATATGATTGCTATCATTTTTGGAGAGACTAAACACATAGAACTTTGTTTTATCATCTAGTTTGACAGATTGACAAATGGCTGACATTTTGCTAGCTGTGGCTGACGATACACTGTAGTCCGATCGGGAGGCATCGGATGTGCGTCTCTCAACAGAGATGAGAAAGAAGCAAGGTATCCTATGAAAAGTTACTCATTTTTTGTGCGTTTTCCAGGGAAAGTCAGCAACTCGTGTCACTTGTTACATGCATCCGGTCTTTTCAAAATAAACGTCTGTCTTCACAGGCAACTCGGTTAGGTTAAGGCAACAAAAAAGATTGCCGTTGAGGTTAAAATAACTACGGAAGTGCTGTTACTGAAGTACGGAAGTTAAGTGCCAAAAACATCAATGGTGACTTTTCGTTTCACATGGGGAACTAACTGCTGGCTCCTGGCTGAAAGATCTGTGTTTATTAGACCCACCCACCTTTACCGCTGCCTTCCAGCCCTCCCTGTGTGCTTTAACGGTCTTTATACTTCCTCATTCATGATTACGTAGATAACATACTCAATCATTTTATGGGATATCTGCAAATTACGCCGCATTGATTTTCATAGCTTTCGCTACAAATGCTGGATGAGACCAGCCTGCGATATTTCTGGAACTGATGATGAAAGTAGCCATTCCTCTTCTTCCACATCTCTTGTTGAAGGCAGGATGTACGGATCAAGTACCGAGTCACACGTGAAGTTGTTCCTGAGTAGCCTAAATGAGCTGGTAAATAACATGATACGATATTGGATCGGGGCATAGACCAGCGTACTCGCGTAGCCAGCATTTTAAGCTGTATCAATTCTGGTATTGGTATCGGAACAACTCTAAAGAAATGATGCTTATTGACGAACTGAGTCATGAGTTTGGGTTGCAATGGAGGCTGAATTGCTTTCAAGCAACAAGCTTACTTGTTGTTACTGAAGAGGAGAACAGTTCACAATGATGGCGAGAGCAGCAGTTCCTTCATCCAGGATGCTATTTCAGAAACATTCTTCTGTTCTGTTTTATATGCCACGCTACTCTATCATCCACTCTAGATGTATTTGTTTCTTCTAATGTATTTCATTTCAATGCGGTCCTGTCTGTTTGTTGAGCTGTCAAAAAAATTCTGATGAATTCTAGTTCTCTTTTCTTTGGTATTGTGTGAGGCTTCTGTACTGAAACATTGCAACAGTTTGTATTATAATGCCGAAATCTGAATAATATTTAAATAAACCATTTTCACAGATGAAATTCAAACACTGAGGGATTCCATCTGTTTGCTTGGTAACAGACTGAGCTTTATACTGAGTGAACTGAAGAGTGCTGACTACGCCGAAAACGCCACCCGTCTCTTTAGTTTGAGCCAAAGTCACTTTTCACTTGATAGTTCTGCTAAATGTTATTTAAAATCAGTCCGTCCTTCATAATGCCGTAACACAGAGGTAAAGGAATGGGGAAAAAAACGGAATGGGAGGACGCAATATAAAACTAGAAAAGAACTTCCTGAAGAAAATGTCAGTGATTGCTTTTTGAAAAGCTGCTGATTGGACGACTTTATAATCACATAAAAACTAATGCATTGGCTGAAGTACAATATCGAAGATTTGGAAAGGAATGGAAGCTTTGCAACACTTTAGCATTATGCTTTGATGCATTACACTAAATGACTTTGTTAAATACTTTTAGTTTCTAGTACTAATACAATGGGACTGAATGTGCCTCTATAGACTTTCATGAAGTTTAACGTATAATGACTCAGGTACAGGTAACAGTAATGACATTCTGTACACCTGATCAGTGTGCAACACAACAGAGCTTGTTGTGTACACAAGTGCTGAGTTATGAATACAATGGCAATGGAGCAGGGCTTAATAGACATTAATGATTACGCAACTGCACCTAACTCATAATCAAGATCAGAGTTGATGGAATTTGTGAGGGTGTTACCTACTTAGTCACCTATTCAAAATTGGAATGCATTCTGTTGAGATGTTGAGTAATAATACAGAGGGGCTCAATGGGCCTCCAGAGCCTTTGATACATTACGTACCATAATAACTCAAACTGTAGATGTCATCATAATGTAGAGATAGTCAGTGTGTCAACAGAGTTATTACAATATACAGGTGGCGTATTATAAACATGTTCAGACTGAAGTGGCCTCCATGGACTGTAATGCAATCTATATGCAGGATTTTGTGAAGTTTGCAACGCATACACATGCTTACAAATCCCATGGATGTCGATGACGATCGTATTAAAATATGATTTTGTACATTAACATTTATCAGTATGAAAAACACCCATGCGGATAGACTTTCACATAATTTGAAATATGAATCATCTTGGAATAATTTAGTGTCGGAGGAGGTAAGGCACAGTTGTTTTTTTTAAACTGTATATCAGGAATTGCTCATTAAATCTGAAAATGTATCGTCGCTGTGGAAACCTCCATATTTCGTCTTTTTTTCACAAATCAATGCTATTGGTAATGTTATGTTCAAAATTTCTCAAACAAAAGGCAAAGGAAAAAGGCCCCCCTCCTTGTTCCAGAGAGGCAGCCCCCGCTGCCACCCCCCCTGCCCCCCCCCCCCCCACGCCAGGCAGCACAACAAC